TCTATCTTTATATCTATACTTAATAAATATTTTAAATTTATTTTTATTTTTACAAGTATTTAATATATATGGATAATTCTATACCCATAACTTTTTTGAAAAAAAATAAAACCAAAATCTATATTTTTAATTTGTATGTGTAAGTAATTTTTTATAAATATATATTAATTTTTTTAATAAAAATATATTAATTTTAATTGTTCTATAATAATAATTTATATTATTTAATAAAAATTTATTTACTAATTATATTTGTAGAGTATGGATACCGAGAGATGTATTATATTATCTATCTTTAAATCCGTATTCGATAAAAATTTAAAAATATATCCATTTTCATACTCATAATATTTATTTCAATATTTATCGCTATTCAAGTAAAAAATTAAATTTCTCTTTAAATATTGAGAAAACTGATATTTCTAATTTTACAGCGAAAGAAACCGTGAATGACAATAATATTACCGTAAAGCCAAGTTGCTAATCGCCCAAAACTGAGCCACGCCACCATCATAATGCAACGAAGTCATAGACAAATTAATTATATGAATATATAGTGTAGAAATTTGATATCAACCAGTAACATTAATGAGCAGTGGCAGCTGCTGTATGGCTTGTAGCATTCATGAAAGATATTCTTCTCCATGGGCCTACTTATCACATGATCATAGACAAAATAATATGGTACTTTGACAATTTTAATTAATTGTAGATCTATTCAAATAAAAAAATGAATGGATTTAAAAGAATTTAAGTTTGATCGATGAAGTCTGAAATATGTATTAAAATAGGTTTTGAGCTTACATATGTTTTCTTCTTTTTCCTTTCCTTCAAAAATAGGTAAGAAATTAAGGTGTTGACATATTATTGTAGGCAAGTATTCTTTAGAATATATAATAAATATAAGTTGATAAATGTAAACAAGGGATTATATTCAAAATGTAGCTTTGCCTTTGGCAGGGCTTGTGAAATTGGATATCCTTGTAAGCATAAGAATGGGTCTTGTCATGGTAAGCTAATTAAACGAATAGCAGAATTTCCAACCCAAAAAGATGCCTAATTTTTCTGTAGCTATGACTATGAACATGGCAAGGCTTGCAAGGCAAAAAAGAAAGGCCCCACAACAAGGCATTTACCAACTGGTGTGTAAATTGCAATGCTTTGGGGGCTGGGATATCCACCAAAACACGTGGCCAGCCTTCATTCCAATGCCTTAATTAGGGCGGCAAAACAACCCAAGTATCCTTGTCAAATGTCAATTTTTTGCATCATCAATTATTATATATTTTTCTTCAAAAAAATCTTATTATATATATATATGTATTTTAATTTACAATTTTTTTGTGCAATTAATTAATGTTTGAGTTATTATAAATGTAATTTAAGATTTAATTTAATTTATTCATGTAATTAAAGAAACGATACAAATTAAAATTTTAATACATGCAATTCTCTTTCTTACTTTTAAATTATGCCTTAATTTGTAAAAAACAAAATGATAAATCATTATTAGTTGCACTTAGGCCGAAAGTATCCAACAACACAAGACATTTTTTTTTAAAAGAATAACATAAGACCTTTTTTTCAATTAATAGCGTAAGACATTTTATTGTGTAATGATTGATGAAAATGATTATTATTTATCTTAATACATAAATAAATTAACGTTGCCTTTCATAAATTAAAAGAAGAAGGTTACTTTTACACTCCACTCTCCCACCAATAACCATACTATCTTTTTTGTTTGTCAAAAATAGATAACCTCAACTATCTTTTGAATGAGTTTTAATCTTAAATTATAATCTTAATACACAATTATTCTTTTATTACATCATCTTCTTTTAAATTAAAATAAATATTCTTTTTTATTTTTCTCCAAATTATTTCAAGTTAATTTTTACAACTTAAAATTCATTTTACAAATGAAGAAACTTACTGTTTTTCCATGTTTTATGTATAATGGATTTAAGGTAAAGAAAATTTAAAATAAATATATATTGTATATATTTATATGTTAGAATTCACTGCATGTTGTATGTATTGATGTATGAATAGTTTGTTCTTTTCTCTTTTTTTTTACATTAAAGAGCAATTTTCAAGATTAAAATAATTTTTTTTGGGCTAGAAGAAAGCTGAAGTGTGAAGGAAGCTGTAAATGGGATGTTAACGTGGTGGAGTCTTTGATACTTCGCGTTAGATTCATTGAGGACGTCACTTAGGACGCTTGTCCATAGAAAACGCAATTTGTCCCCATCAACGGCTGTCAGCTCGACAATCTATCGACGTTGGCGTCTAGTTTTGGCAACATCTCCCACCCCACCCTTTTTTTCTTTTTTGTGCATTATGATATTTATTTTTCTTATTTATGTATGCTACAAATTTTAATTGCATGGTTTAGTAACTTTCGTTGGTGGGCTCTTTGCCTCAAACTAATTCATGGATCGGGCCGAAGCTGATCAGAATTCATGGATTAGACCCAATAACTAATAAGACCAGACGCTATTAACATATTTAAAAGTTTTGCTTAAAATCATGTTGGTTTGGTTAGTTTTAAACTCATTGACATTCTTTTTAATTTTACTTTATTATTTAAAATAAAATACATATTAATATTTTAAAACATAATAAACCATTTAAATGAACTTCAAATTTGAAAAATCTTGTTCAACTTGCCTAACTTGCAAACTTAATGGGTCAATTCACTTGGGGATAGATTAAGGATGACAATGGATCAAGACAAAATCAATTTTTCTTGACCCAACCCGTTCTTTTAATTTAAAAAATTTTAATTTTATTGAATCGAAATAAATTAAAATTTATCGAGTATAAATTATTTTATCATCCTTAATATAGATATACTTGATACCAATGTGAATTTTTAGTGGAAACCAACTTATTAACAATATTAAGGGTTATCATCAATGAGAATTCATGATTTTTTTTAAAAGTGTCAATTTATAATATATAAAAGAAATTATTGACAATTAATAAAAAAAAAAACTAATGATGAAATTATCAATTCTCAAAAAGATGTCCAAGGAAAGATTTTAAAAGTGTCAAAATTTTTTTTTTAATTTTTCTGTTTTCACTTTTTAATGATATCCATAAATACTCAACTTTTAAATATGGATCCACCTCATATTATTGTGCGAGTATAATTTCATTTCCTGTTATACTTTCCAATGATCTGTGTATAAGTTGGGGCATGAGTTAGCTTAGTCAGTTTGCTGCTCAAGTGAGCAAGCCCAATACCACGTTTGGATTATAGTCATCTTGAACCACATTCACATTTATCGCGGCACAAGGCAGTGCCAAAGTATGTAGTACCACAGTACATAATGGAATAAAGAGCCAATTAATTTGATTTATTATTTTCCTGTTTCTTCACATTAGTTATGCCCAGTATGATAATATACTCTCTCTCTTTTTATTTGGTGAATTTATTTTTTTTTTATTTTTTTTAATATTTGGTACATGAAAAGAAATTAGTCTTTACGTATACCAAAACAGGTCTTTGGGAGAGTACCAGTGGCACGATATTTTTCAGCTTGTCATCTATGGCAACTTTACCTTTCTCGCGTTCAGCTTCTATGGATGCCTTCTTTTGTGCCACCGTTTTCTGAACTTGAGCTTCCTTGTTTTTCAGTTGCTTCAGCTTCTCTGCATTTACCTAATCATCTTACACAAAACATACATACCATGTTAAGACTTTGAAAGAGGTTTTTGTTTTTTTATTACAAAGATAGCTTATTTACCTCAATCATTTTTTATTCGGCCTCATGACATGCTTTCTTTTCCTCCTGCCATGTTTGAGTTTCAGCCAGCCTTCGATCCGCTCTGCTCAATTATCTTTCTTTTAAGCCAATTCACTCCCCACCCCCCACATAATCCTAATTAAAGAGTTCAATTTTTTTGAATACTAGGAAAGGAATTACTACTTACTTGTGATCTACTTTTGCCTTGTCTCTGTTTTTCCAAGCGTCAATTTTCTGCTCATGTTTTTCTGTGTCTATTCTTTGCAGCTCTTACATATTAAGAAAGCAAATTTCCAGAGTAATTAGCTTTACCTTCAAGTTCTATTCCCAGAGTAATATATATATTTATATAAAAAATCAAGCATTCAACCATAACTTTTAAGCTTTAAATAATAAAAAACCAAGATAAAATTTCAGTAGGAGAGGGAGAAATCCTGCATCCTCTCCTTTCTATTTCTCTTTATTTTTTTTAAGTATAAAAGTGGTGGCAATCTCATTATAAGAAAAGAGTTTGTCAGTGCCGAAATTTGAATTCTCAACTTACTACATAAACTAAGTTAGTTAGTGCTCTGGTTTTATTTCTCTTTATATTTGTTTATTGGATTTGGAGCAATACTTCATGTAAAAGAGTTGCAATAAGTGAAACTATACCTTTATCCATTGTGGAGACTTTCAAATTCTTAATCTGTTTTCTTTCGCTTTTGTTGTTTTTTCTTTGGATGAATCAGGCGAGAAAACGTTGGATGGATGTATGGCGTTAGCGATATGATCACTTTTTATGGGAAACAAAATTGTAGGAGACTTTCTGTTCCTGGATAGATTAAATTCCCTCCCCATATTCCAAGATTTAAACTAAATAATTATGGCTAATAATCACTAGTGAATACAGGCATGCAGCAGGCGTGATTGCAGATTAAAATCATTAAGGAAATGAAATCCCATTTTTGCATGATCCTGTAACAATAATTTCTTCAGTTCTTCTTCGGATAATTTCTAAATTTTCATGTTAGGACCATACATTTTCGCATGAGTTTTAACGAAATGTAATCTCTTATTGTGCATGGTTATGCGTGCTTGAGGAAACAGCCACATCAAAGCTATTAACATCATGTATTTTCTGAATCACACGTCTTTTTCTTTGCTTATTGGCCAACCAAATTTGAAGAAAATATTCAATTTTAAATCACACCAAAAGTTAAGAAGCTAATCCTTTTGCCTTTTTATCGTTTATCAACGACAATAAATTTGTATCCTTGTGTAAAAATGTGATCACCAATTAAATTATATCTCAATCACGAGAAGATCGGAGTTCGAATCTACAAGAAAAGAATAAAGTAAAATCTCGTACATTTGTCCAATAAATTGCCACTATTATTGATTACAAATTTATGTCTAGCAATACAGACAGTAGATATATCCATTGATCAATACATAGATACAGACATAACGTCTAATTATATAGCCGAATAGCCGTGGTCATCTTCTGTAGGAGCCTCGGAAAAAACTGTAAATATTACGAAGGCTCCATACAGTATTGTGACAAGAGCCGTGAAGTTTACAAGGTAGGCCTCAGCACCGTATTTTTCAAGGCCTGAGTTCTCAAGGAATGTAAGCTTCTCCAGGAACCCTATGGAGGCATTGCCAATAGCCAAGATGTATACAAGTAGTCCAAAAAGTACGTGCCAAGGAAGGGATTCCCTTCTTAATTCAGTTGATCCTCCAGGGTAGAAGAATACAAGAAAGCCATATATCCACTGCAAATTATATTTTCCATTTCGAAACCAATATCCAAAAGAGAACAAACGTGTTCATCATGAGACCAATATATCCTTTTACGATGCAAAGGAGATTTAGCAAGTTTTCAAACAATTCAAATCTTTTATGGAATTGCTAAAAGTGATAAGCAAAAGAATTTTAAACAAATTAATGGGGTCGAGTGATTCTGTTACCTGAATGCCATAAAGGACAATGACTCCAATCCCAATCCATGAATGCAAGCTGTAGAGATTGGCTATTGAACTCTCATTATGATACTTGAATGCTGTATAGATACCAATAATGCCAAGAATTAGAGCAATGGCATGAAGCACAAGATGTATTACTTTCTTTACTTCCTTCCTCAGAGGCAGTGATTTATAGCTCATAATGGCTGCATTTTGGCATGTCGGAGCATGGTTCAGAATTGTTAATCATCCAGAAAGCAAAATTCAGAAGCAAGCTATTTGTATATTAGATTACCTTCACCTCCTATGATAATGAAGCCAATCAACATCAATACAGGATGGATCTGCAGAGACAGTAAATGGGTAGTGGACTTAAGCACATTAGCAGCAAGCAATAAGGACTGCGTGAAATGTTTCACCTCTTGCTTCCTTATTATGTTAAGAAGGGTAAATTTTTCAAGGATTCCTATTGTGCTAAGGAGGACATCGATGATGTCTGACTAAAAAGAAGGAAGAAGCAACATTTAGATGTTTGACATCTATCCATAATTATAAATTTATAGTTTAAGTTTTAACTTGAATATGTTCAAGTCTCACATCCTCCTTGCCCGGTTGCTCCCAGAAATCTAATCCATTTAAAGATATTTTCAGAAGCCACGTGGTAGTGTATTAATGTTTTGTAAAGTTCCTAAAAGGACACGAGATGTAGATGCATGAAGGGTCGTTAGGTCTTCTTCATGAGAAACACATGGGTAACTAAAACCAATTTAATATGTATGGTTTTAGCCTGTTTGCACAGATGAACAGATGAACATTGGCCATGTAGAACCAAATTTTGCCAAATAAATAAATAAATAAAGGAATTTAGAGCCACCCCCATGCTCCAGCCCCCATTCCCCCCCAAAAGAAACCTTCCAAGTTGTTAGGTGATAGTTAAGGAGCAGCCTCCACTACCAAGTTTTGGGTCCGCTAAATTTTGGCCACTGAATTTTGGTAGTACTACTATTTCTTTCCAGGGAATCAAATCGGGCTCCATATCATTTAACGAATAGTCATTGTTCACTGGCAATAAAGATATGATCTTTTTTTTCTTTCTTTATAATATTTAATTAAAGACTTTACATCCTGCCAATGATAAAGATGATTACATAAGAAATAATGCGGGCCAGTCAACTCATAATTGAGATTTGAGAGGCATCCTTTACCATAGCAACAAAAAGAAAAAAAAAAGGACGATCAAATATGAAATTCTATAAGGAATCAAACAACTTGCCTAATGACATATGGGAAACAGCAAAATCCGAAAGTCTCCTTCATTAGTTCAGTGCTTAAAGTTTAAGATTCTACGAATAATTTGGTAGTATTTCTACCGTAGAAAGTATTAATTTAAATCCATTCGTTAAGCCAAAGGACCATTGTATTTTTTGATAGATATGAACTGGGGTTGAATGAACAGAATCACCCAAAGTCCCAAACCAAAAAAAATCATGAATTATCTGATCCAGGTGAAGAAACAGAGACCTAGAAACCAAACAAAATTACACTGGAAGGCCGAAGTCATGATAAAATATATATATATATATATATGTGAAGAGGAAACAAATTTTTGAAAGAGCCCCTCCAAGAAACAGAGAGATGAAAGACAGAGCAAAAACTTACATTAAAGATGAGACTTTTGTTCGAAGATTCCCAAGCTAATCCACCTAGGAAGTATATGCACCAAACCAATACCATAACAGCACCAGCAACTGCTAGCGCGTGAGGTACAATCGCCAAGTGCGGTGCTTTGATTCCAATCGCCATGTTCGCTCGGTCTGTTTTTCTTCTCCTTAGCTGTTGTAAGAGACAGAGTGAAGCAGAAAACGCACCGCAAGACGGATTGGATAGAAAGATAAAAGCAAAGACTTTTATGATTTTAAAGCGCTGGCTAATTGGCTTACGTCTCCTGCCAGTTATTCCGGGAGATAAGGAACGTTGGATGGAGATCTATGTTGCACTCGGATTAATTCCACGTGGATATCAATGATTTGCTTTGTCCACTTCGTGGAAGCTTCCTGCCTCTTCCTCAGGCTTGGGTCGCGCCAGCCCTCCTCCCGGCCCGGTGCCTACCATGTGCTTCATATTTCAAACCCCCAACATTTGGGACAGGGAATTATTGCACTGCGATGTTTAGTATATTGTTAATTAATGAAAATTAAATTACTATTATTCCAGAAAAAAAGGAAAAGAAAACCCAAACAAACATATGACATTGCAGTGAATTTGATTCTACATATATTGAAGTCTTTTTGAAAAAAGTCAATGTATTACCTTCTGATTTGCGCATGGCCTGGTGACTCTAATTTATTTTTATTTCTCATTTTTTTTTTTACGCTTGAATTTGACAATCGAAGGAAGGGCTCGATATAACATTTGTAGTCTGTAGAGGCTTGGTTTGGAGTTGGACCCATTTAGAGGTGAAGTCATGTATGACATCATTATTTTGGATCGAAATCAATAGCAATCCAATCTAAATCTTGAAACATCTGACATTTTTTGTTTTAATTTTTTTAGCCTTTATTCCTTAGTTAAGTAAGCAAAAGTCATTAACTTAGCACATCACAAATTGAGCGGGAGATGGACAATAATGGTGAAGTTTCTGTCGGCTTTTTTGGTTAGCGACCCACCTCGATTGTTGCCAGTCTTAAATGTTTATCAGTATCCGGGTCCCACTATGTCACCACCAGTTTCTCCTTCCCATATATAAAAAAATTAGAAAAGTTCAAAAAAAAAGAAAGAAACTTGATTTGTTGCTCTTTTGTTGTCGGATTGCCTTTGGATAAGCACGTTTATGGTCTTTAGTAATTATGGTTGTGGATGAATTTAAAGCACTAATTAGAGTTTTTCTACTTGTGAGAAAAAACATACCCCTAAAAAACAAAAGTATAAAATGGGTACATTCTTTGGCCTGGTTAGTAAGGGATAAAGACTGGAGAGAGAAGCAACTTTTACTAAAGATGATATAAGTTTGTAGTAAGGTCTATGTAGATACATACCGACTTAGAACCGATGATGCCAATTTCTAACTCAGTTCCAAGAGCTAACGTGCTGGAACTTTGATCTTACTCAAACTCTTGATACCATCTTTCAAATTGTATGTTAAAATTTTCATTAACTTTAAGAAGGAAAAAAATGATTATCTCTCTCATTTTGAAATGCAAATGTTTTAACTCAGACTTTCAAGGCTTACCGATCTGATCTTATTCATGTCGAGACATCTTGGGCTCCTGGCGAATCTATCGTGCTGTTTACAATTCGACGGATGACAAGTTTTTCTGCTGGCTAGTCATATTTTTTGGGTCTCATTGTTGGGCTCTGGTCCTTTTATCTGTCTGTAGAAAGAAAAAACAGTTTTTATCTTATGTTTCAATAACGATCAAACCAGACCAAAAGTTCCGAGGCAGTACCCAAGAATAACAGGCTTTTAATTAAGCTGAAGAAGTTCTGACTCCCTCAAGTGAGCAAAAATTAAGGCCCAAGGGTCAACTACGTGGTTGATCCCAGTGGATTCCAAATCAGTTTTTGACCCAAGTTGAATTAAAACGTGCACGATCAGCTTACCCTTTTTGTCCAAGTCACTGGATCAAAGTTCGGATTCCTACCCATGAAAAAGCATTGATAATGGCAAGGGTAAAATATAATTTGATCCCATCAAAATTCACAAGATCACGAGGTTCGTTATTGCATATTTCTGAACAATTTTATAATGAGATAAGGTTCATTGACACTATACAAAGGAAAAGAGAAGATCTGCAACATTTTGATGCAATTTGAGCAATACAAGGTTTCATGTTTCCCAATATCTGACAAGAGGAATGCGCAATTTTAATTCGAAAATTTGTTAAATGTTGTGAGATCTGCCCTACTTATACAAGTAGAGGAAATCTCACTCTTAGCACAATTCAACTGAAAATCAGGTATAAGATTAAAACAGCCGCAATATGCAATGAATATCAACAATAGAATCCAAACTGCCCTTAGAAAAAAAAAATCAATTTGCAAAGAAAATATGCGTTAATTTTTTCCTTCTATCCTCATACTGCAATTTTTATATAGAAAAAATGCTGACATGCATTAGGAGATAAAACATTATCAAGTAAATGGCTATGTGAAGTCAAAGTTGGTGATTTCCCCAGTCCTCTCCCTCCTTTCCCCTGGTTATAATTAACCTTTAGAGATTGTGGAAAGTGTCTAAGAAAGTAGTAAAATTCTCATCAGCAATGACTCAATAACAATGTTCCTATTTCCAGGTCAAGCCTTTTAGTTCACGCAAAAATTTAAGTCTGAAAGCGATAACCCTCAAAGACACATCACCTCTTGCACGTGCATGCATTAGAGGAAAAAGAAGAATCACAAGAAGTTCTAGGTAGACCGAGAACAAACTCCATTCAAGGCAGGGAATTGCTGACACCTAAAAAGTACCTTTCAGATCTAGACTTTGCCTTGTGAAAAATGAACCGTTAGGCAAGGATTTAACATCAAATTTCCCGGCACTCCCCACATCTCTCTATTACAAATAATACTTGATAAGGTATTTAAGTTGGTTGTTCCACCACAAAGATGGCAGTACAAGTGTGGTCCATGATACAATTATTACAAGACAGGGAAAGAACATCCGTCCGCTCTCCCTATTATTGCTCATTGGCTTCGGATTCAGATAACTTTTCAGCTTTCTTTCTACAAAAGCTTTAAATTGTTGCAAGCAGCTGGAGAAAATCGGCTTTTATCGGTCTTTGATTAGAATGTTTTATGATTAAACTCTTTCGAAACGCCATGTGGGAGCTGACAATGGCAGGTGTTAGCCACGTTTTTCAGCCGGAAACCTCTTTAATCTCTTCTTAATTGGGTCTTCAATTATTGTTTTGGTTACTTTAGTATTAGCCATTAGATTAGTCTCATTTTATAGTATATATTTGTGAAGAGATAGATCCATTGTTAAAGGAAAAGTGTGGGACTATGCGTGGGGTAAGAGAGAGAGAGAGAGAGAGCACATGCTACCACGTGTTCCCAAACATTTACAGAGCAATTTGGCCGGGATTTGACCTGCAAGAAAGCAGCCAATAATAAATGTTAAGCCTTTTGCGTAACTTGGCACTGCTGGAAATTAATGAGGCTCCTGTTAAAGATGGATCAGATTTGTCGAAACTAAAGTGGTTTGGGCCATCGCGGTCTCATGAAGTAACTCCAAACCATCTAAACCTTGAAATCTCTTTTATCAATAATTTTGGTCAAATCATGGTTTAATCATTTGGCCGTTGCAATAATGCCGTCAATAGTCTTTTTTTTTTTTGGGGGGGGGGGGGGGGGGGTTTGGTGCAACGGACAATGTCAGTGCCTAATGCTTTGTGAGGCATTTGACATCTTCATTTAAAAAAAAAAGTTTTAAAGCTATTATTTTTTTTAATTCCACTTGATTTTTAACATTCAAAAATACCTTCGCTAAATGCGTCACAATTCGGCACAAAATATATATTATATATATAAAGAGATGCTTTAATGATATGATAAGTAACAGCTAAGTGCTAACTCCTTCAGAACCTTTTTTCATTTACTTTATTTTCATAGTTTTCCCCATGCATAATCGTTGATCAACATAGACGTGACATCATAACCTATTTTACTTCCTATATTTTGCTGAAAAATAAAGTTTCAATTTTAGACAGACAACAGGCTCTAAGCTTAGGATTAAACCATAAATTTAACCTAGAAAAAGCAGGCATTATTTTTTTTTTTGGTTGATGATGCCAATAACCGAAGTGAAGGGTCATATGCCACATGATTGGTTTGAAGTTTCGCACCTCGTGCCTTACTGCAATCAAAAGAAAACAACTTTCCCATTCCGCAACTTTTTATTACTTAGAATAATACTACATTTTTTGATTAATTAATATATGCTCTGGAATGCACTACATTTATTAATTGGAATTTGAGTCATCTTCCATTTCGCATTTCTGAACTTCCTGCAGCTTCTATATTCTAAAGTTACTAAAGGGATTAACAGACTGGAGCATCTGGTTGCTTACACAACACTTTTGCATTCCAAAGCTGTGCAGAAAATATCCTGTCTATTTCTGTCCTAAACACAACTGAAGTCAAGTTTGGACAAAGAAGCTCCAGATTAGCTAGCATTGTTTTTCAATCAGAATCCCAATGCGGTGAGTGGGATTTGTAGCAAACATTCACAGGAGAAACTGAAGCATATATTCGACCAAAACATGTTTAAGTCATGGAGGAGCGACAAGAAAAAGATCAAAGTTGTATTTCAATTGCAGTTTCAGGCAACTCAGGTACGAATTAGACAAAAACTACTAAGATAAGTTGAACTTGTAGTTAAGAATTTAGAATTAGGAGTTCCAAGATCTCACCTGATTCTGCATGTTTATTACCAGGTGCCACGGTTGAAAAAGTCTGCGGTAACGATAGCACTGGTGCCGGAGGATATTGGAAAGCCGACACTGAGATTAGAGAAAGTCGCAGTTCAGGATGGCAGTTGTTTGTGGGAGAATCCTGTCTATGAAACTGTGAAACTCATCAGGGAGCCAAAAACAGGGAAACTGAGTGAAAAAATATACCATTTCGTTGTTTCAAATGTATGTGTAGTCAGTGACTCCCTTAGACTTTCTTCTTCTCCATTTTCTAAGTTTCCACTGGGGTTAGCTAATTACTCTGGGTTCTTGCAGGGATCATCAAAAGCAGGTTTTCTCGGTGAAGCTTCAATTGATTTTGCTGATTTTGCAGCAGAAACTGAACCAATTACTGTCTCTCTGCCCCTTAAGTTTGCCAACTCTGGTGCCATTCTACATGTTAGTTCTCTCTCTCTCTCTAAATTAACGTGTGCACTCACACTAAAAAGTGACCCAAGCATTTCAGTTCTATTGATTTTAAAATCTAATATAGTTTCACTGTCAATTTGGTTGTGAAAATTCATGGTGATCCACAGGTGACAATTCACAAAATTGAGGGAGCAGCAGATCAGAGGTGATACAAGGATTAATAATCCATCTCTAGTATTCACTATTTCCATTTTTTCTTCCTTTTCTCCATCCTCTTCTCACTCTTTTTCTTGTTCTATTTACATATCCAACTTTTAATACTAGATATCTTGAAGAAAGTGAAGGTTTGGCCATTTCCCGGGATGGAAGCTTACAAAGCCAAGACAACAATTACACTGTACATGAAAATGACCAAAACTTCACAGAAGTAAGTCCCTACTAGTTTTGGTATAGTTTAGCATGGCTATCTGTTCTATGCAACTTTGCAGTTAAATAGCCCTTCGATTCTTTCACAGGATGGGCACTTGAATATGACCACATATCAGATGCCTCAGAAGGGAACAGATGCTGTCACGACTAAGAAGCAGAAGCATAGGAGAACAAACACAGATTGGTCAGTCAGTTCAACTTCAGATGGAAGTTTAGTTGAGTCAGGTAATAGCCCTGAAGACATCCCAAGAGAATGGCAAGAGGGATCAGAAAATTCTGTTGAGAAACTCAGAAGTGAAAATGCTATGTTATTGAGGCAGGTAGAAGTATCAGAATTAGAGTTGCAATCTCTTAGAAGACAGATTTTGAAAGAAAGCAAACGAACGCAGGATCTGTCAAGACAAATTATCAGCTTTAAAGAAGAAAGAGATGCAGTGAAGATAGGGTTTGAAGGACTCAAATCAAAGAAAACTACAGATGAGCCAGAAATTGAAAGCCAGTTGGAAGCTGAGAATGAGGAGTCAACGGTTCTGCTAGAAGAAATTAAGCAGGAACTGAATCATGAAAAGGACTTGAATATCAATCTTCGTTTGCAGCTGCAGAAGACACAGGATTCAAATTCTAATCTGATTCTTGCAGTAAGAGACCTCAATGAAATGCTAGAGCAAAAGAACAGGGAAATATCTCGCCTGTCCAGCGAGATAGAAGCAAGTACGAGTATTGAAGAGGTGCAATCAAGTTCTAAATGCCAAACAAATGAGGCTGATGAACAGAATGCAATGAAAGAATTCAAAAATGAAGAACAAGATGTCAATGAAGTACACATGATGAAGCAGACTAATGCAGACCTGAATGCAGAGTTAGAGTTTTACAGGAAACATAAAGAGGAGTTAGAGATGCATATAGAAGAACTGAGCCAGGAAAATGAGGTCCTAAAGCGGGAAAATGACAATATCTCTTCCCAGTTAAAGCAAAATCTGCAAGAATCACTGAAGACACAAAATGAATACTCAGAATATTTGGCTACTATAAATGAACTTGAATCTCAAGTGCAAAGACTGGAGGATAAAATCAAGCAGCAGTCAGAAGAATACTCAGAATCTTTAGTTGTCATTAATGAACTTGAATGCCATGTCAAAGAATTAAAGATAGAACTGGAGAATCGGACACAAAGATTTGAAGATGACCTGAATGCCATGATAGAGTCTAAAACAGAGGAGGAACATAGGGCTATCGGAGCAGAGGAGGCATTAAGAAGGACAAGGTGGAAAAATGCTGTAACTGCTGAGCGGCTTCAGGAGGAATTTAAGAAGCTATCTGTTGAAATGGCCACTAAGTTTGATGAGAATGAAAAGATGACCATGAAAGCAGTTGAAGAAGCAAATGAACTGCACATTCAAAAAAGAAATCTGGAAGAAATGCTCCAGAATGCCAATGAAGAGCTCGGGCTACTTAAGGATCGGATTGGAATTGAACGGCAAGACCTTTCACACCAACTAGATCTCAAAACAAAACAAATAGAGCAAATGTCAACGCAACTTAATGATATGACTATGCGACTTGAATATGCACAAAAGCAAGTGAAGGAAAAGCAGGAGGCTTTCTCAAATGAAATCCAAATGCTCAGAACTGAAAGTGAGAAGCTCAAAGAGCAGAAATGCCAATTTTCTGATCAGGCAAAAGAAAACGGAAAGCAAAGTGATGAAACCAAAAAATTGAAGACATCAAATGACAAAACAGAGATGCTGATACAAAGATGGAATAAAGAAAGAGATGAATTGGAGAAAAAAATCACTTCAGCAAAGATGGAAGCAGAGAAGGCGCAGAAACAATTAATTAGTACTAGGTCTTTGAAGGATAAAAAAGAGATGATGATCACAAATTTGCAGTCAGAAATGGAAAACATTAAAGTTGAGTACAATGACTTAAAACATAGCTTGATCCGAGAAGAAATGGAGACAGAAAAACTGAGAAAACAGGTGTCTCAGTTAAAGAACGATCTGCAGAGGAAGGAAGAAGAAATCAGCTCTATAGAAGAAGAAGTAAAAAATAATGGTGGTCAAGCGGACATCAATCCAAGGAGCAGCCGCTCTACCTCAGCTCCTCATGACTCCAAGGATATTACTAGTTTCCAGAAGAAATTAAGCTTGCTTAAGGTAGTTGCTCAAATACAAAGCTTAGAAATTAAACATAGTACTTATCTAGCTGTTATGCATGGAAAAATTACATATTGAATGCAAGATACGTCATATTCAGGAAACATCAATGAAGTAACACATTGATACATAATCTCCTTTATCCAGTCATGAAATGTTTACATCCTATTTCTATGGTTCTCATCTAATCCAAACAACCAAGCTGATATAATAATTTTTTTGCTCTTATTCATCAAATAGAAAAGATTAATAATTTCACAATTTTTGGCAGGAACTGACAAACCTCAAGGAAGCTGCATTGAAAACATCAGCTAATTCAGTTCCAGAGAAGGAAAGAAATCTCAGCAACATGATTGATGAGCTAGAGAGCAGCATGGAACAACTCAAAATTTGTCATTGTCTTTCTGAAGATCAGTGTCAAAAGGTATGTGGATTACAATTAGAAAAATGCATCCACTAATCTCATTTTGAGATTTGTCATGCAACTGGACAGAAATATCTTAGTAAAGAAACAGTTCATGAGGCAGCATTGAGGTAACTCCAAACAATCATAGAAAAAATATTTCGGAGATTAGCAATACATCTCTAAAGAGACAGAATAACCTTTTTATTGAACAGTAATGATGTAGTTGTAAACAATGTTGCCTCTTCAAAACTATATAAATGAATTAATGGAGCAGAAGTTCCTTTAATTCTAGACCTCCACAACTTGAAGTTTTAATGAAGGTCATTTATATCTAGGTTTCATCCTTATTGTTAAACTGCTTCCCATTCCATCCATTTAGTTCTAGACTGTTACTCCATTCTCAAGACTATTAATGTTCAAAATACAGGAAACTACTTCTGCTGGAATCTTTTCAACAAATGTCATCAAATCTGAAGAAGAAGGAAAGTCACAAGACAACATGCTCCATTCTATGATGAGCACTGCAGAAGGCATGTCTTTCTCAACCAGACCAGTACCAGTTGAAAGGTATGAGCATACAATAAGGTGAACATCATTGTCAATCTTTTTTGTCTCAAGAATTACAGCTTATTATTAAGCAATACCTTTACTATAGATGGAGTTTGTCGACTTATCATTTTCTTTTTTCCTACTTTTGATACCTGCAGCAGTGCTAATCTTGCTGAACTGCTAAGTGAAGTGGAACGCCTTAAGGAAAGGAATAAATCTATGAAGTGTGAGCTTAAAGATATGGAAGAAAGATATTCAGAAATAAGCCTCAAATTTGCAGAAGTGGAAGGTGAAAGACAGCAACTTGTAATGACAGTACGAAACCTTAAGAGCGGCAAGAAGAACTAGCATGTTCAAAGATGCAGTATGTTGGACAAAGAATACTAAGCAGGGTGAAGCAGCTGATCCTCTAAACAGCAAATACATGTGTGATGCTTGCATCAAAGTTCAATCAAGGCATCCTTATCATTTGAACTTGTGAAACAGCATTCCTCTTTATTTGTTGCTCATCTCTTCTCTTAGGAACACTGAAAACAAAGCTAAAGCAGCAAATCTTGGATTTTAAGGTTTTAAATGTTTTGATACCTAGAGACCCAATAGCTATATAGGAACCAATTCACTGCCTCCTTCATTTAGCTCAATAAATTAAAATCTAGAATTAATTTTGTGGAAACAGAACTAACAAATCAAGCCTGTCTTTGTCCACGGTCCTGGCATTTCTTCTCTTCAAGTTAACAACTGATTTCACTAAGATGGAGCTTCTGTTTCCTGGGGTGAATATTACTATTAACATAAAACTGAATTAGAAGAGAAAAAAGAAACAACCCAACTACAGAGCCACCAAGCCAGAACACATCACACTTGACATCAATTAAAGGTGTTAACATCAATAGATACTTATGCGCCACAAATGCAGGCATGCAGGCATATTCACACAAACAGCTGCCAGCAGTGCATGCTCCAATAACAAGTTTTAGTTCAAAGATCAATTCATTATGAGTTTCAAGCATGGAGCTGCCTGAAAAGCTTTCTTATAAAGGCCTAACTGCCTATGGGCTACTCAGTCCAATATTTCAGGCCAAATCTAATATTTTTAGCATCAGGAATGTGGTCTTGGAGTTTACTGATAGAGCCCATATGGATAAATTCTTGAAACATTGTGGCAGCTACACCAAGTTGATGGCACGTCTAAAGGATGATCTGCATAAAACAAGTAAATGTAAATGAGACCTAGTATATTTCTATATTATTGCTATTTTCTGACCAAAGAAACTGTTGCTGAGCACAACATTCAAGATCCAACCTGCTAATTCCGCAAATGGTTCCACACGTATATACATTGCACCCCTCTTGCTTCCATCCCAATTATTGATTGCGAAGCTTTTTGCTCAAACCATGAGACCTCCATCACTCCAAACCAGCTTAGTTTGACTTCCACTTTCATTCATTGCAAAAGAGAGAGTCTAAAGGAGAAAAGTGCGAAATTTCAATGGCATACATATGCAACTTTGTCTGTCGTACACTTAAAATTTGATACCAAAGATACTTAACACAAAACTGTCTTGTTCTCTTATCAATGGATGTGCATGTTTGCAGGAGGGAGGACGAAGTCTTTTCATTCTTAGATGAGCTGGTGGTTGTAGATATCTTTTCTGTTTCCTTTCTTCTAGTATTTTTGTAGGAGTGCTACCTCCTTGGTATTTGAAAAATTCAAGAATAGACGGACTTCTTCTCTTAGGAACTTTCGCTATATTTCATGATATCTCAAAAGGGGAAGCAGATGTATCAGAAGGAAGATTCTGCTGACGTAATCTGTTCTTTTCCCTGATTTTGTTAAGAAATTCTATTGTCCAAGGTGACCTTGGTTGTGGATGGGCTAAAAGAATGGCCTTTGAGGGGGTGTTGCACTATGATTTGATGGATCATTTTTGAGTAGTGAGCTTTTGTAAGGTGCTGATCCCTGAGCTAAAACATCCCATAAGAGGCTTTCTTGGTTGCTGGGAGGCAACTTATTGTCATAACCTGTATATGGAATATTATTAGATCCTTGGAATCTTTGTCTAGGATATTTTACAGAACTCAATATATCTGAACCAGTGTTGATCTCAGAAACATATGGGAAAATGGTGTGACTGCCTTTACCAGATGACAATCTTCTAGCAATTTTAGACTTTCTTGTAGAATCTTTTTCAATCCTGGAACCAAAGAGGAGAAAGGAATAGAGTTACCAAAGGAAGAGAAATCGTCACCTGACATTGGACTGTCAGTGAGGTCAATTACTTCACCTACAAGGTCTTTATGCCGATTCTCAAAGTTATTGATGTTTTGCCAGTCCAAACTGTTCAGCATAGCGATCCTTTCTCCCTGACTGTAACCCCAAGTATTATCTTTAAAGGGTACATTAAGTTTGGCCTTTTTTGCTTCATTTAACATCTTAGGACCTTCGGAGATATGAGAATCATATTGCTCAGGAGCTTGAGGACTCAAACAGTGTGTGAAAGTCAAATTCCTGCTTTTGATCAAATATATCATTCAAAGATGAACTGTGCTTTTTGTAATCCTGGAACATCTCAGAACCTTTGGACATCCAAGAATCATATGGCCTCAACAGTCCAGAAGGACTCAGGAAGTTATCTGCGCATTGGTTCAAAGTCCCAAAATGCAGGAATTCATCCGTACTTGTACTGATTCTACAAGGGCTATTTATGTGTTTCCCTTGTTTTCCCTCAGAACCAACATTGTGATGACACTTGTCAGAGTCAGGACTGACACAGAAGAAGAGCAGTCTGTCATTATAGATTTTGAGTCCTCCCGCTCACTGTACTTGCACAAAGCACTAAAAAGAGCAACATTCTCGTCTGGTAAACAATAGTTTTGGACTGCACGGATCCTGCTTTCATGTGACCACTCAAGGAACTCAATAAGCATTCCTCCTGAAGAGAGTATTGCATGAGCAGTCAAAGGATTAATTGAAGGAAATTTTGTGAGGAATGATTCTGCAAGAGTTTCTGAATCAGGCATCTGATGATATAGGCCCCTGGTCATCTTAGCAGCATAGTCAATTCAGTTTAATATAATTTCATCAGTTAACTCATATGAATAAGAACAAAAGAGCTGGAAGTTAATTCCCAAACTTGCTGCTACATAGAGTCCAGCTGAGGATCGGATTACAGTAGAAAGGAAGCCAATTTCTCCCTCGAAGACCTGGAAGAAAAAGTAACTATAATTTATAGTAATTCAAATTACAACAACAATAATTTTAATGTTCAATAAAAATAGTTCAGAATTTTCATCTTTTCTAGAGTACGTCTTCTCTTGCACAACACAATGAACAAAGTTGTCTGCCCTAAGTTTTATTTTAATTTCCAACCTAGGCTATAAGAAAGTCCATAATTCTAGTGAGCAAGCATGAACATCAGCCATTACTACTCCTAATCAGCTGATTCTGACAAGCCAGCTGAAGATGGCTAGGAATGCAAATAAGCAGCATATAGGTCATCGTTACCTTTAAAGTCATTTTTATAGGTCATCATTCCTTTAAAATTCTCTCATGTAGTAAATAGAAGCAAAAAAAGAATGTTTCACTAGAGGTAAAATAAACCTACTCCAAGGATATTGATGAAATCAACAGAAAGGTACTGCCAAGCATAAACCTAGATTTTTCCGGTCCTAAGCATCCCAAAGAACTCAGAAACAATACCTGACATTTGTCTTCTTGAAACTTAAATACTCTCTTTGTCTAACTAGTTAAGATATGAAAGTTGAAGTGTAAAAATGATGTAAGATGCTGAAAGTACCAGGAAACAGCCACTGAAAGTAAAACTCAGCAATATCAAAATATTAGTTGCAATATTCTCAAAGCATAAAGATGCTTCAACTAAAGTGGCAGCTTTCCGTCCAATGTTTCTGCGATCATACCATGTTAGGCAAACTGCACAACTAATTAAGACATGCACAGGCAGTTTTGAGTCAAGTTCCACTACTTGAGCTCCTTCTTTCTCCATTGCAAGAAATTTTTTATGTACTTCTTCCAGATACAATCATTTCCTTATCAAAATTTCGCACGTTCACAATAATTACTATGTCTGTCATTTACAGCTGAGTTAGCTTGGTTTCCACTGCAACTAGCAGAGGCATACAATTGGCTTCTACTTCATCCACATTTTCAACAGATCTCTTATCATACTTGTCTTCAATTGGTACAAAGTTCAGTAGGTCCTCCAACTTCTCATAACTCACATTAGCACCTAGGGCCAGGACTGAATGAAACTCCCCTTCCTAAAACATGGGTAGTGTCAGCAGTATGTCTATGATAACCGCTATGCTTACTGACAAACAATTATATTAAGAGCTCACAACTTAAGAGAGAGACAGCCCCTTCCAATAAGGAAATACTTTTTGCTCAAAAGTTGAGAACCTATCTCTTATAGCAGTCAAAATTTGGAGGTTACTTGATGCGTATAAAGAATTTGCAATTGTCCTCATTCTTAAGAATTAAAAAGGTA